CTTAAACGGTATAAAACTACAACTTTCCCTTCTGTTGATAAAAAGCGCAGCCATCTTGGATTCTGAATTTCTGAGATATTTCTTGGATCTCAGAGAAACGGGAGCGCGCATGTCGTCACTTCCGGCTGCAAAACTCCGGAATCTGACTCGGAATACGAGCTCACAGGGCAAATGGAACGCACCAAAACTGCCCGAAATTGGTTGACAGAGACATTTCAGGGATTTTGAGTCATTCTGCACTGCAGATGGGTTAATTGCCATAAAAATTTTAATCAGATTAATCATGATGATGGATTAATCCGCGTTAACCCGTTAATTTCAACAGCCCTACTTAATATGTAAACAAAGCGAACTGTAACATAACGGTTGGTAACGGGCACGGCAGTCAAAGCCGACCTTCGCAGTTAGCAGCAGGCAGCAGAAGGTGAAGACAGTAGGCATCCTGATGATGGAGATGAGCAGCTTGTACGTCTCCATGACCCCCTGCGTCTCCTCCCTCGCCTCCTTCTTGGCCCGCCGTCTGGGGGTCTCCTTCTTCATGATCGCCACCAGGGTCGTCGACACCAAGAACACCATCCCCCAAAAGAAAAGGAAGTCTAGCCAAAGTACGATAAACAGGAAATCAAAAGCTACGCTTGTGTGTCCACACGCGCAAGTTTGTATATTTATACAGATCGGAGTGCAAATGACACGGACAAATCCTTTGCATTCCCTAGGCAGACATACCTGAGAGAGTGACGATGCCAGTGGACTTGGGCTCAAATCTCAGGTAAATGTTGCAGAAGTCAGCTGACTCGAGAGCCAGGAACAGCACATTGCCGAGGAAATAGCCAGCTGTTTGCCCTACTGAGTTGCAAGTAGAGGCATAACCTACATTCTCCCGGGAGAGCATGGTGAGAGCCCAGCCGTCCACAGCGATGTCCTGCGTAGCAGCCAGAAAGGCCAGCATAAAAAATACAGCCGTGATTGTGAAAATGTCCGGGGGCTTGTGGCCATCGCTTTCCAGCAGCGAGTCCATGGTTGCAGACAGGTAGAGCATAAAAAAGCCCAGGAGGTACTGGGTGGGAACCAACCACGACTTCCTGCGACCAAACCATGGCAGATATAGGGCATCCACCAGCGGAGCCCAAAGCAGCTTGAGACTAAAAGGCCAAAACACAAAGCTGAAGTATGCCTGGTCTTTATAACTGACGTTCTTACTCTGTAAGATCAGAGGTATACTTCCTGCCAGACCCAGAGGAATTCCCTGTAAAACATACAGGAAGAGCAGCAAGCAGACATTGCCCAGTTCAGCCCTCACACTCCTGTGCCCATTGGGACGTCCGTCATCATCCTCAGCAGCCTGAAGCAGTGCCTCCTCCTCCACCTCTAAAGCGGACGGGTAGATGGCTTCGCCATCCTTCATCTCCCAAGAGATGATTGGCCTCCTCTGCCGACCATTCTTTCTCGAATCAGATATAGGCAGGTCCATGATTTCTGGTTGGACATCAATCCAACAGTGCAGTGAAGGATTCTACAATATAAAATTCAGGGGATTGTAAACTTCATTTTTAAATCAAAGTATATTTTATAGTACAGTACTCACAAAGATTTTACTTAAGGTTTCAGTTTAAAATTTTTTATATAACTTTGATGATGATGATGCAAATGATGATGATGATAGGACATGATGCAGAAAAGGTTGCTTTGAAGTTCACTCGTCTATATTACCCTCAATGACCAGTGAAGCATAAAACGTTGCGTGACATAGCTTTATATCGCTGCAAGTCTGAAAAGGTTACGGGATCTGAAGTGTCCCATTCCAACCGACTACCGCAAGATATAGCAGTTAGCATATATATTCATGAGTTATCTGTTGGTGATTGTAAACTATGAAGTCAGTTTAATACCCATAAAATGAAATAACAAAAACGATTATTGACCGAATTCCAGGAAATAGACTGAGGAAATATAACAGACAACCGAAAACATCATAAACAGAACGCAAAAAAAATAAATAGAATAAAGAACGGATACTAAATTGTTAATAAGATTATTTCGTTTAGCCAGCATGACGGTACCTTTTGTGATGAAATGGTTCATGGAAACCCCACTAACCAAATAAGTCGACCAACGATGCACACATCTACAAACAACAAGTGCTACATAGACGTCGTGCGTATTTCTCCTGCGTATCGACAGCTAAGTATTTTAAAACCGCAATGCACTTTAAAAAAACTATAATTTCTAGTCATGACCAGCAGTTGAGCGCCTCCCTTCATGCAAGTATTACGTGTTTCACCAAAATCCTTCCGTATACTTCAAGTGCGTGTGTCACAGTAAAGCCCTTCCGTGTTCGCAAAGCCGCATGTATCCAATGGGTTTCCGTTAAGTGTGTCACATTGAAAGCCTTCCGTGCCTTTCAGCTGACGTGTCCAAAGGCTTCAAACGTCAGTTCCTACTCCTGCTGATAGGAATAACAGATATCACCCATAATAAGCAAAGCTCAGGCAAAATATGGGAACTACTCGGGAATATCCATTCATCTATGCACCTTCCAAGCGCTTATCCTGGACGGGATCGTAGAGAGAACCATAGGGTAAAAGACAGGGGTACACCTTGACAGACCGCAGGAGGTATGCGAGAAAGCATCTAATTGTGTGACGTACCTATAACAATCAGCTGTATATAGGATAACCTTACAGAACTGGCAGTTCAGCTTCGTTAGCCTCTGCTCGTCATGCCTATTGATTACATTTCATATTCATTAGAATCTATATTGCTGTTACTTGACATACGTGCTTCCGGGGAGAAACTTTATATTATGCGCTGACTTAATCACAAAAAGTTAGTGAACATCTTTATATCGTCGTACTGTATGTACTTTGTACAATTAGAAAATTACTGCATTGACACAAAAATGATCACAAATACGTATGGATATTTTAATTCTTAGATCATAACCAACCAATCAGATACGGTAACCATTTAGATATCCCCCGTATACATTCTTAATAAAAGTTCTGATATCATTGTTACCTTACCTCTATATGCCTGGTTTCCTAGCAGCCGTTATTTTAGTCATTTATAATAATCCTAGGTGCTGGAGGCAACATTTTAAATGAAATATCAGTCTTTGAAGGTAAGATCTAAATGTTGCCGCTACCAAGGTATGGGCTATGATTGTATAAGAACATAAGAAATTTACAAACGAGAGGAGGCCATTCGGCCCATCAAGCTCGTTTGGGGAGAACTTAGCTAATAGCTCAGAGTTGTTAAAATCTTATCTAGCTCTGATTTAAAGGAACCCATGGTTTTAGCTTCCACTACAATAGCAGGAAGACTATTCCATACTCTGACTACACGCTGTGTAAAGAAGTGCTTCCTCAAATTTGTTTTAAAATGTTCTCCCGCTAATGTTTTTAAACAACCTTATTTGTGTAGTTGTTATATTAGGACACATCAGTGGACACATCAGTCGTTTAATATAGATATTTGGTATAACACACATGCATCTACCGCTGGCACAACAAAGAACGATGTATATAACAGGATCCAAACCATGATCAGTTTCTTCCCTCAAGCTGTCGACATAACCAGCAGCTGAATATGGACTACGCAGTGCCACTTTCATTTGCAATTTAGGTGTACTGTAATGTCTGAGTGTTACTTGTTTAAGCGGCAGTACCGCCCGTTTGTCTGTACATTTGTGTGCGATTAGAATAGAATACCTTCATATCGTCACTGTACACGTACAATAGGTACTACAAAATGCAATATATCTTACATAAATTAAAAAAACCCGTATACACAAAAATGCAACTATGAAACATTAAGTATTTATTAATATGTATAATAAAGTAAAATGCAATTATTTAAATATATGTGAAACGCGCATATGGAATGGTATATGTTAGTTGTTCGTTGTACTAGATGAGTATACCCATTCCGATGAACTTTTCACATATGGCCATGCAATAATACATCTTGAACCCACTGTAACGACTCACGAAAGCCAATGTTAAAGAACATGGATTGTCGTCCACCTGCCCCAGTTGTTTCTGGTGGTAGTATATTAACTTTTACTAGATTTCGTGTTTTCCATCTCACTCTCATCTTTAACTATTCGAATGATGTACGTAAAATTTAAAGTGAACTCTGCTGTTGTTTTAGGCTTAAAGTGTTACCCTACCTAATTATCTAAAACAGTGCCTTCGTGTTTTCAGCGATTATTTTCAGTCTCCTGGTACTCATGGAATGATTCTTTCGAAAACTCTCCCTTCTCTAAATGGTTCTATAATCCATAATATATGCATGGTTTATTAATTGAATTGCACTATCCTGTAGCAATAACGTATTATGCAGTGCTTTCTTTGTAACGAGGCAGACACTCTAGGTATTTTTTAAAATAAATCTAAACCAATAAAGGATGTGAAATTGCATGAAAACTGGTTTGCACATACTTATTTTATTTATTCTTAACCAGTGATCTGCCGGCTTTTTAATCATACGTCTATGAACTAATGTTTTAAAATGTAAGTGGTCACGCTAAGCCCCCTGTGCGGTTGCAGTAACACAGCCATGAAATGCCTGCTTGTCTATGGTCTGGATCGCGTGGCAGAAACTTCGGAACCTGTCGTTAACACTTAACACTGTGTTCGTGAGCAACTTCACATAATCCAGCCACGACAATTAGCGGATTGTGCAGGTCTGTAGGCCTCCTCGTGGCTATGTGGATTAAGGCCAAACCTCCTTCAAGTGTTCATTTTTCCAGTTAATCAAGAACTGTACGCTTGTCGGTAGACTGGATCAGAGCCATGCGGATTGGGTTAAGGGTTCGTGTGGCATGTGACTGGTCATGCTTGAAAATCCATCTGACACAGTTCTGGTAGTTGTATTACTATCCCTAGACATCAGCCCTTTTTAAAAAGAGCTTTAAAAGAAAGTTGTGTTGAGTAAGTGACTTGGAATATCGATGGTAGAAAAAAGCCGACGACTTGATTCTACTCTTCACCAGTAGATGGCGGTTCTCGTATGGTCAGTACTGTATATTGTTCAAGATGGTCCATAAAGGGTCTGTAAACTTCATAGTTATAACATGTCTTCTGTTTAAACTTATTCCTGTTCAGATGCAGAGTTCGGTCATATCTGAACACAACCGTACATTCCTTGTAATCCACAGTTTAAAACAAAAGGTTCCTCGGATGTTGAATTTTGTATCCGTGGAAAAAGATGTGGCTGCCATCGGTCCCAATAAACCAGAAAGCGGAGCACCGTGTCAGTCCCGGATCAAAGAGGCATTCAATACTGGTGAATGAGGGATCCAACGGGGTTCAGCACGGTCCAAACTGCAAAACCACAGAGTACGAAGACCCAGGGACATAAGCGACACGTGGTGACAGTGAGCATTTATTCCCCCTCTTCTCAGTACAGTCAGAAATAAAAACACCTTCCCAAAAGTACAAGCGTGCGATATGAGGAACACAAACACTGTTCGGTGCAGCTTGATAACAGAACTGTGTCGTGCAATCTTTAATTGTGTTGAACAAATTTTCAAAACAATCTTTTGTATTTTCCCAAAACACACACCAAAATGATTAAATACGGGAAATCTACTGTTACAGCGTCATCTCTCTGTGTAAACTGAGGTCAGAAGGGCCGAGCGTGCTTCTAATCACCTTAACTAAGGATCTCAGCAGTCAAATGACCGGTGCTGCGGAGTTTAATTCACATCGTGTGGGATAAGCGCACTTTCCCCGCCAGGCGACCTCGCGCGAGGCTCCTCCCTCCCCGCTCGTGGCTGCTTCTGCATGCAGCGCGCGGAGTCACGGCTGGAGTCACGCGGTATTCTGGGAAACGCCGAGTCAGACTCACGCTCGCGGCACAAACGGATGGTCTTCAATCACTTGCGCGACACGGAAAAGGGTCCAGGCAGCCAGTTATGGCTCTGTGCAACGGCGAATCCAAGGTCAGCACGGTGGCCGCTGCTCCCCCGGGTCTGCGGAGGATCATCGCGTCCTGCGCGTCTCTATCCGCCCTCCTGCGAGCACATGAGGCTCTGTCACCGGGCGCGCTCGCTGGGAGAGTCCCCGGTCACGGCCTCCACACAGTGGAAGGGATTAAAAACTGCGCTCGGTAGCGAATCGAGTCGAGTCGGTGGCTCCGTACGGTCCCCGGGTGCCCCGCAGCAGCAGCAGGCCGGTCTCGAGTCCAGGCTGGCCGTGGCGTGCTGGGCTTGATGGCGAGGCGGGCAAGGTTAGATCCCCCGGCGTGACCGCGGTTATAAGCGCGCCGCGTGTGTTGTTTTGCTTAACGAATCGCGGTTGCCGACTTTATGGCGTGTTATACTAACGCTGCGACTCCGATTGGCTTTGCCGGGAAAGGCATGTTAGGCGGGGCGTGCGGCTGGCCGGTCGGCGGACGGCGTCCTCGCATAGGCCCCCCATCCGTGCAACTTGCGTGGTGGGCTAATAGCGGTCCACCCCCACTCTCAGCGGCAGCTATAAAGTTAGTAGTGTGCTTTTTGTTTAGTGATCGCATTTATAGTCGAGCAGTGCCCCGGTGCGTCAGCAGACCGTCCCGCAGACGGAGGCACCTTTGGGGCTCCCCACGTGTGCGGCAGACTGTCCCGTCTCCCTGTGGCGCGCTGCTGCCAGACGGGTCTATAAAGGAAAAAAGTAATTTTCGCGCTGTGCTCTTTTTAAACCGACTTTGAAATGCACGCGTGTGACATCTGTAAGTGCTGAGTGCGATTCAAAGCGGGTAGTGATGCCGGGATACCCGACATCAGAATGATTTACCCTGATTCCCAAACTTATTGCTCTGGATCATCATGGGTGCTCTTTAAATGACAGAAGTTATCACTGTAGTTGAAACCCAAATGCATGGGAAACGTCAATGTGAATCTATTTCTGCGTGAATTTGTATCAACCCAGATTTTATAAACGTCGCCCGAAGTCTCGCAGGACTCCCAAATAAACTAGTCATAATAGTCTGGGCTGAGATCAGGCACGGTTGGTGTTGGGCATGTCAGTTCATTCGAAGATGTTTTTTAACCTTTATTCTGTCTTTGCATTATCACACGGCAGCTTAATGCCGAATCAAAGGATGGCTCTTCTGGCCGCTTCGAGGGCGCCGTGGCGATCCTGGATGCCGGCGCGCAGTACGGGAAAGTGATCGACCGGCGCGTGAGGGAGCTGTGCGTGCACTCGGAGATCCTGCCTCTGGAGACGCCGGCCTTTGCTCTCCAAGAGCAGGGATTCAGGTGAGGCGCCAGAACCCCTGAGCCATTATTTCATGAGACGTGGAAGCGCTTACAAAATGCTGAGTTTATTCTCTTTGTACATTTCACCTCCCATGTCAGGTTTTGTGGGTTGCTGCACTCAGAAGAATTTGACAGCAACTAAATGGCATGTTTGCGAGTCACGTGATGTCCAGTCCACATTTTGGGGGAAATATGCCCCACTGAGTGTAAAATGATTTTTCTGGATTTGGGATTAATCTCTGAAACCTAGGAAATAATGTCGTTAGCACATTATGTGAAGATGATCACATTTGAAACAACACTGAATTTTGAATGACCCCGCAGTGAGCCATATCATGCTGCTGACATTCGTACAGTATCTCAGTGTTGCCTTTTGAGCTGTATGCCTCACTGGTGATATGACTCAAAATAATATTGCTATAGGGCTTAAGATCTTAACTGGTCCAGGTTGACGAGGCTTATATAATTTGAGGTGCACTGATTCGATATTCAGGATCTGTATCGGCACCGATCCATACCTAATTGGACAGATCGGGTATCGGCCATATGTGACCAATCAACATCCGATGCTTATTTCGTTTTGGGCAGTCTGTAAAAAGATAGCTCTTATTTCTTGTTAAATCGATTTGTAGAAAGCAATCGCACGACAAGCTCTTTGCCATTTTGGATGCGTTCTTTGCAGCATTCAGGCTGAGCGCTAATGCTACCACTCAGGTTTTCTGCTATTCAGTGGGTGTGAGCGCGGTGACTTCCGCCCGCTGTGACATCACGTGCAAACCCTTTGCCGGAGGAGTGCAAGAACATTGGATGTGGTGATAGCAAATGTGACTTGCATATTTGCAAAGCAAACTAACAAACATCTGCAGTCTGGAAATATTTTGCGCCTGAAACAACAACTGGTGGCACAGCGATTTTGCAATCTTTATAAAAACAAAGTTGTGAGAGGTGGATTCAGCGTTGGGTGGAACATCCCGCTAAACAAAGCGCTCCTGTTTATGCAAGACAGTGCAGGTAGTATGAAGAAAGCAATGGGTGATGTGGGAGTCGCTGGTTTGGGCTGTTTTGCACACTTGCTATAGCTTGATACACGAGGGGCTGCGATCGCAACGAAGTGTTAGTGACGCTGTAGCCAGAGGGAGAAACATTGTAGGTCATTTTAAGCATTCGTCACTTACGTATCTTTGCTCAGAAGATATTCAAACTGAACTGCAAATGCCTCAAAAATGCTTTAAACAAGGTGTACAGACGTATGGAACAGTGCCTTATGTATGTTTCTAGTAGCCTAATTTACAAAGCTTTTTTTGGCGTACTTTTTTTTACCATTTGTATTTACTAGTTTAAAAACTGCTCTGGTATCGCTTCAGCATTCGTATCGGCCGATACCCTTTGTTCAGTTACTGGGATCGTATCGGCACTCATATCGGCCGGTACCCTTTATTCAGGTACTGGGATCGTATCGGCACTCATATCGGCCGATACCCTTTGTTCAGGTACTGGGATCGGTGCACCTCTGTGGCTTGGAAAACAAGCTCTTTTTATTTATTTGTAGGCCCTTCGCGTTTCGTTAACAGGGATCAGAGCAGCCTTTCATGCTTATACTGTCTTTGTTGGTCTTTCCAGTGCGATCATCATATCTGGGGGTCCAAACTCGGTCTATGCAGAAGACGCTCCCTGGTTCGACCCCGCCATTTTCACCATCGGAAAGCCGGTGCTGGGAATCTGCTATGGAATGCAGGTCTGTGCGGGGATGCGGATGCCGGAATCAGGCCCGGCTGCCCTGAATGGGGGGTCCCCCGTCTGACGTTTTTTCCAATTCTTAGATGATGACTAAAGTCTTTGGTGGCACAGTGAATAAGAAAACGATTCGGGAGGACGGGGTGTTTAACATCAGCCTTGATACTGCCTGTTCCCTTTTCAGGTGGGTCCCTGCGGCGTTACAAAACGTGCTTCTGTCTGTCTGTCTCTCTCTGTTTCTCTCTCCATCCATCCTGTGTCCTGCTGCCACGTGACTGCTTATTGGTTGGGATGTCCGCCTGCTGCTCACTCCCTATCTGCCCCCCCCCCCCCCCCCCCAGAGGCCTCCAGAAGGAGGAACTGGTGCTGCTGACGCACGGCGACAGCGTGGATAAGGTGGCCGACGGGTTCAAGGTGGTGGCGCAGTCGGGGAATCTCGTGGCAGGTAGAGGAGCCGCAGGAGCCGGGAGGTAGCAGCACAGAGTATATCGAGGCCGTCCATCAAGTTCACCCCTCCCCCTAAACCTGCCCCCCTCCCCCACCGCCGCCGCCACCTCACAGCCATCGCCAACGAGCAGAAGAAGCTGTTCGGCACGCAGTTCCACCCGGAGGTCGACCTGACGGAGCACGGCATGGAAATGTTCCGCAACTTCCTGTTCGACATCTCCGGCTGCAACAACGGCTTCACCGTGCAGGGACGCGAGCAGACCTGCATCCAGGAGATCCAGGAGAAGGTGGACAAGGCCAAAGTGCTGGTGAGGCTGCCGCGGAGCTAGGGGCCCGAGCCCGTCGCCGCTCGCTTGTAGGGCTGCCGTCGTGGGGGCAGGGCTCTCCTTATGTATCACGCTGGCCAATCAGGGTCTTTTTTGTGGTTCTGTGTTCCCCTGAAGTAGTGAACCTTTGGGATAAGTATTACCCACATGGCCATTCATCTTACACAACCAGAGCTGCTATATGTATTTTACATACTGTTGGACGCTGGAACCATGCTGGGCACAGTTAAAGTGCATCATATAAGGGCTACAACACGAGTCCTCTCTGCCGCCCCCTTTGTGAAATCCACACTCTATTATGAATTCCTGCCTTTCCCAGTCGCTTCTGCTCCATCAGGGTGACTAACATGTACGCGAACCAATCATGCGGGCTTTCCGAAGGTGCTGTTGAGCGGCGGGGTGGATTCCACCGTGTGCACGGCACTGCTGAACAAAGCCCTGAACCAGGAGCAGGTGATTGCTGTCCACATCGACAACGGCTTCATGCGCAAGAGGGAGAGTCAGATGGTGGAGGAGGCCCTCATTAAGCTGGGCATCAACGTCAAGGGTGAGTCCGTCCGGCGCATCGCACCCGACCGCGTGACCAACAGACCTCTAGTGTCATTCTGAAGCCATTCGGGTTCTGCGGTTCCGTGCAGTGGTGAATGCAGCTCACACCTTCTATAATGGTACGACGACACTGCCCATCTCGGAGGAGGACAGAACACCCCGGAAACGAATTAGCAAGACGCTAAACATGACCACCGACCCAGAAGAGAAGAGGAAGATCATCGGAGATACCTTTGTGAAGGTGTGTGGAAGCTGTCATATTGATTGGGGTTTGGGTTTACGGGTCAAATTTTGTAAAAATAAATAAATGCATGACCCAGGAGATTGATGGGTGCATGCATGGTTTTTTTGACTGCGTGTATTGTGATGGAGGAATGTGCTGTTGATGTATGTGTTGTAAATACTCTATAGCTTGTTACAAAGCTGGGCTGATGTTTCCACTCCCTGCAGGTGGCCAATGAGGTGATCGGGGAGATGAACCTGAAGCCAGACGAGGTTTTCCTGGCCCAGGGCACGCTGCGGCCGGACCTGATTGAGAGCGCCTCCACCATCGCCAGTGGCAAGGCTGACGTCATCAAGACGCACCACAACGACACGGAGCTGATCCGCAAGCTGCGTGATGAGGTACCGGCGGGCGGGGCCCCTCCCACGTGGTTTGGGTAGCTCTGGACCGCCGTCGAGATTGTATGAGTTTATGGATCTGCCCGCGAGACGTACCCATGTGTGTTTATTAGTCAGATGAGAGAACCATTAATTCACCTATCACAGAAGCTCTACTGGGTTGACGTTCCAGCATGCGTCCACAGCCCTGTTAGATCACAGGCACCACTGAGTTACAGCTCCGTTGAATTGCTTGTGACGTATTTGCTGCGATGTATTTGCTTGGACAAGTCTCATGCTTCCGTCCGCAGGGAAGAGTAATCGAGCCGCTGAAGGATTTCCATAAGGATGAGGTGCGGATGCTGGGTCGAGACCTGGGGCTCCCGGAGGACATTGTGTCCAGACACCCCTTCCCAGGTGAACCCCCCCCCCCCCTACCATTGCCTGTCCTCCCGCTGTGGGAAGTTTCCTGTGGACTGACACCCTCATGCTTTGGATTCTGCAGTTTGTCTGAACACTTGAAATCCATTTCTGATTCCGGGGCCCCCTCTCCTCTCATGCGCCCCCCCAGGTCCCGGTCTGGCCATCAGAGTGATATGTGCCGACGAGCCCTACATCTGCAAAGACTTCGCTGAGACCAACAACATCCTGAAGATTGTTGCAGACTTTTCCGCCAGCGTCAAAAAGGTGCGTTGTGGTCCCCCCCCCCCTTTGATCGCGAGACACTCCAGTCTCCGTCGTCTCTGCTCGCCTGTAGGTTTTAGTGAAGCTCTTTCAGTGCTTGCCGATGTAGACCATCCTTATGGTCTGTGTTGGAGCTCCGCTGTGCAGACTGACCTGTCCTGTGTTCTTTGCCAGCCCCATGCCTTGCTGCAGAAGGTAAAGTCCTGCATATCAGAGGAGGAAGAAGAGAAACTTATGCAGATAACCAGCCTTCATTCGCTCAATGCCTTCCTCCTGCCGATAAAAACCGTGGGTGTGCAGGTGAGTCTGCAGTCGTGGGTCTTCCTTAGGTCACTCCTATGCCAGGGACATGATGTCAGGGTTACGTCGTTCATAGGGCTGGGGTGGCGAGGGTCGGCTGTTCCTGCCAGTGGCGGGGGGGCGGGGGGCATAGTAGGCTGAGCCTGATTGTGGCTCCGTAGTGCTTATAGGGCGGTGGAATTTTCCTAGGGGGTGAGGCATCATGGGAAGGGTGCTGGATGTTTGTGTCTGTGGTCACCATTGCCTGCGTGAGCCGGACGCCACCCACACAGCCGCCCGGGAAAAGCAGTCTGTGCTCATGCTGCCCCTCCCCTTCCGTGGCTCACCACAGCAGGCTAAATTTACCGTACATCCAGACGGTGGGATGAGCAGGACACAGGAAGGGGGGTGGGGTGGGGGGGGGTGGGAGTTATTCCTGGCTGCCGGTCAGTAAATGAATACAAGCAGCCTGCAAGAACGGGGTCAGACGCCGCAGCGCGTCCCTGCTGTTTGGCAGCCGTTGAGCCGCTGTGCATGCTGGGTAACGAGGGCTTCGGCGACAGGGACGCGTGTGTTCAGCTGGATTTTTGAGCTGGAATGGGTATCACTTTCGGCCCCTCTGCGCCCCCCAGGGAGACTGCCGGACGTATAGCTACGTCTGTGGGATTTCCAGCAGAGATGACCCCCACTGGGGGTCACTCATGTTCCTGGCAAGAATCATCCCCCGCATGTGTCACAGCATCAACAGGTACGTCCGCCCCGGCTCCGCGGTCCTGGCAGCCCCCTGTCACCATGGCGATGTTTAGCCCCCCGTGCGGACGCTTCATTCTGCTGACGCGCTCCTCTCCCCAACCCCTGTGCAGAGTGGTGTACGTGTTCGGGCCCCAGGTCCGGGAGCCGCCCGCTGACATCACGCCCACCTTCCTGACCACGGGTGTGCTGGGAACGCTCCGTCAGGCTGACTACGTGGCTCACTCCATCCTGTGGGAGTCAGGTGAGACCACCCGCCCCCCCATTTTTATCCTGTGTGGTATCTTCCTGTGCGTTTGAGTCCAAGACGGACAGTGAATCCAGGAGATCTGGGGGGCGGGGGGGGTTTCTGCAAGCTGCTGCTTAGCCAGGGTGTGGAAGTCCAAGCGGGTTTGGTGTCTCAGACTCTGGCTTTGGTGAGTAACTGAGGCTGGTTTGCGTCTCCAGGTTACGCCGGGAAGATCAGCCAGATGCCGGTCATCCTGACCCCCCTGCACTTCGACCGCGACCCCCTGCAGAAGCAGCCGTCCTGTCGGCGCTCTGTGGTCATCCGCACCTTCATCACCAGCGACTTCATGACCGGCATTCCCGCCACACCCGGAAATCAGATCCCGGAGGAGGTGAGTCCTGATTGGACAGTGCTGCTCTTGTACTTTTGAATGAAGTAATTTCCTACATGTGATGTACTGACCGAGGTGGGGCAGGCAAACTTAAACAGTACGCCTGTGTTTCTAGAATGACGCAGCAGTGGAAAAGCACTCGACGTGGCCACATGTTCCTCAGTTATATTTTAAATGTGTTTAAATGTATAATTAGTCGTTTAAGCTTTTCTGGAGGGGTGGCACGGCTGTGCGGTGGTTAGCAATGTTGCCTCACACCAGTGGGACCAGGGTTCGAGTCTCTGTCGTGGCTCCATGTGTGTGGCGCTCGCATGTCATCGTGAGGTTTCCTCCACGTACTCTGGTTTCCCCCTGCAGTCCAAAAACACGCTGAGGTTACGCCCTGTGATGGGTTGGTGCCCCATCCTGGGTTGTTCCCTGCCTTGTGCCTGCAGATTCCAGACCCCCCCTGCCACCCTGAATAGGACACATGGTTATGGAAGATGGATGGATGGATGGATGGATGGATGGATGGATGGCAGCTTTCTGGCAACACTGATCCTTGTACTGAAATTGTCTCCTGTCCTGCCAGGTGGTGCTGAAGATGGTGACGGAGATCAGGAAAATCCCTGGGATTTCCCGAGTCATGTTTGACCTGACGTCCAAGCCTCCAGGGACCACCGAGTGGGAATGAAATGCGCGGATCCCATTTTATCTTTTAACACCTTTCCTGCCTCATCCACCAATACACTGCCCCCAAGTTACCAGGCCCCTCGCCCCCCCATGACAAGAACATTCCCAATGTTGCCAGGCAATACTGTGACCAGCAGCACACCTGAAGACAATAGAATACCCCATCTAGGTGTTTTTTTTTCCTTGGGGAAAGGTTGTGTTCATCTTTTTTTTTTTTTTTCTTTCCCCCTTGTCAATGTAATCAACATAAGGCTAACGCTACATCTCTAAGAGCTCCGATGCTGGGTGTGGTTAAGGCTAACGCTACATCTGTAAGAGCTCCGATGCTGGGTGTGGTTCAGCCACTGTCTTCGTCGTTTTTTTAAAAGAAAAAAACCTTGTTCTTCTGTGTCACATTTTTTGTATAATTCTGAAGTGGTTTTGGGTTTGTGTTTCCCTTTTTTTATTGCCAAATTGCAGAAGTGGGTTTGACTGCCTTCCCCTCCCAGTGCTGTAATAAACTCTCTGCTAAGAACACTGTACAAACATCCTACGTCTCACGTACAACTGCTGTACAGGGCTGCAGTCATGTGGCTCTGTGTCTGCCCCAAGTGTGCAAGGTGCCCTTTATCCATCTCGCAATAAGTGCTTTCACAAGAAAATTCTGCTTCTGTCATTCTCCAGAAAAAATCCCGTGCTCCTCTTTCATGACACCTACTCCTATCGTGTGTCTCACTCTTGTAGGCCCTGTTGTGACCCGGGTTCGAGCGTAAACCCTTTAGTGTCTGTTTTCCATACCGACCGTGTACTCTGACCTCAGAGACGTAACTTATGACAGCTCAGTTTTATAACGTGAGTTGAAGCTTGTATTTTAGGTATTTATTGTCTTTGTACTTACGATTCCGTGCGGTGTTCATCAAAACAGCGAGAAATCAAGATGGACTTCTTTCATGTCTTAATCGCAACTCTCGCTCTTAATGTCCGCTGCCTTCCTCCGTGTAAAACTAAGCAGCATCTTACAGCTAGTGAACTCGTTGATTTTGTAGTTGCATTTAACTGCAATATAAACCACAATTTTGAGTTTAATTTATGCAATTTTGTGACTCATTTGCCTTCATCTTTATAAGACCGACCTTTTTTCCCTCTTTTTAATGTGCCTCAACCGCTGCATGCAGTTCCAACATTGAAATTTGTACGATGATAAAATCAAGCTTTAATAAAGATGTTAGAAAGTAGTTTTGTGTTCTCTGGGTTAATGTAAATACAAGATAATCCAGTGAGGATCGCAAGTGGCACTGTGTCCACTGGACCAGTAGGCCTCATGAAATTTCCATCATGGTTCAACCACAGCTCCTTTCTGTGAGATTTGTCTTGACCTTCATGTTGGGGATTCCTGTCATCAGTGTCCATGTCATTTAGGTTCACAGTGCTCAGATTAATTGTCCCAGTATTCGTTCCCTATAAATGAATTATGTCTGATTTGATCAGTCGTTAAGGTGATCACTGCTTATTCCAAATAAAAGTATAAATTAGTGACCATATGTGTTACAAGGGCTCCCACTAGTGGACATTTTGGTGAAGGTAATTGTAAAGCAGCCGCCTCATTCTCGTCTCCGCGGCGGTGCGATTCCTGTGTCCTTGTGCACCTGTACGTCGCACTGATCCCAGTGTAACTCACGAGGCTTGAAAGTTATCGCTTTGTACTAAAAAGTTTCTGAATTCCCCGCACATCTGTTATTTAATAAATGATGAGTCATGGATCCGTTATCACTTTGAGGCAGATTGCTGAGCATGCGTTTTATCTGTAACACATGAATCTCTCCACAACGCGGCCACAGCATAGATGAACACCGACTTGTGGGCGGAGCTTCTGTGCTCATGGTTGTAAGGTTGCCATTCCAAGCCCCGCCTCTGCCGGATAGTCACATGTCCATGGGCTCCTGAGCTGGGCCCGTAACCTTGAGCTCCCTGGGCACCGCTAGGTGGCTGCTCCTTTACTGTGACCCCCCCCCCAAAGCTTCCTGTCACCTACATGGAGCAAAGAGATCTTCTCCTTGGGGATTAATAAAGTGTTATAATTGTATTCTTTCAGGTTTTCACAAGTGGAGTACAGCTAAATGGAAGAAAGCAGAACACAGAGTAGTGCGCGGCCCGACCCACAAAAGCGTGGGGCAAATTACCGCCATGCAAGCGACACTAACAATGAAATACGTACACTTCTTTGCTACTCCTCTCACCGTGGTAGAATTTCATTGGACACTGAAGTATCATGAAAATCAGAAACAAAATAAGCAGTTTATACGACAATACCAGACATCTCACAAACAGGAAGGCCACCACAGAGCAATGTCCTTTATTCTAGACCAGGGCTGCTGCGTATCCGGGTTTTCACTGCAATTCCATAATTAGTTCACTAATTAGAGGACTGATTGGCTGACGAGTCCTCACACCTGGGTTTGGACAGCTGACCTACAGGTTATCCCAAAAACCTGCATCCACACCGGCCCTTTGCGGATAAGATTGGCCACGACTGTTCTAGACTAATGAGTAGAAAACAGCACTAGCCACACACACACACACACACACACACACACCAAACACAGACTGCAGGATGCCTATATACATTCCGCAGGATCTGTAAATATTATATTCCCAATAAACAAATAAATAGATACATATCAAACACCAAGGGGGTTAAAGAAAAAAAAGATTATATGAAGGCACTCTGGCCCTTATCCTTATAATAAAGAAACCAGTTTAATGAACCCAAACACAATGAGCTGAACACGGAGTGGCTACAAACGTTATATAGCCCCAAACACTGACCCTCACGTGTTCCAAACGATGCCTATTTCACCCTTAACAAGGCCCTGCCTCAACATAGTAACATAATGTGTATCAGCTGGGTAACAGGCTTGCTGAAAACATCAGATATCACCCAAACTTCTGACAGTAGCTGCTGATATGGATCCTGAAGTAGGAAACCCCAGAAGTTGCCAGAAACCCTGTTGGGAGAGATACGACTCAGAGCATTAGTAGTTATGTTTTGTGGGCCTGGCACTTTTTGATGGCAAAGCTGTAACTTGATAATTCAGCCACGCGTCGCCGTTAATGGCAGACAAGCTTGGGCTTTGTCATAATGTGAGCCAGCAGGCTATCATCAGTCCAAACCAGGAACGTATGGCCCTCAAGCCACTGGCTACATTTGTCACAGATGGATCATTTTGAAGGTAAGAATTCCAAACACTGAACTGTATAATTTCTTTGTGACTGAGAAAGTGATTTGTTAGCGAAAGCATTGGGCCCAGCCTTCAATCCTCTCTCCTGAACTTGTGATAAAAGGGCTCTAATGTCATGCAAAGAAACGTCTGTAGACAGAATGAATGGATGTGAAGAATTATGATTAGCTAGGATGATGCAATCAATCAATGATGTTTTCAAAGTATCAGAAACGTGCCCTTGATCAGAGGTCCAATCACTGGGTGTTAGGTTTTTAAACTGGTGTCTGAGCTGCAAGACAATAATACACTTTCTTTTTTCTTTTGACCTTTCAGGAGACAAAAGAAATGGCTTAGCAACAGCTGGGTAATAGGGGATAAAGTGCTGATAATAATTAATCATTCCCAAGAAGGATGTGACTCATTTCTAAGATGGTGCAACATCATCAGATTCCATCAGGTCTGAGCTGGTCATCATTGAAATATTCTCCACCTTCCTTAGATCTGTGGACATGGCAGTCTCATCAATTACGTGATCAGTGTTTCATGAATTTACATTTCTTGGGGGCTAACTTGAATTTATAAGTATACAACCTACTGCACCCCATCTTCAATCATTCTAGGGCTGTTTTCTCATCTGGTCCCAAACAATGAGATCATGTAGGTAACACAATAAACTCCTAAGGAAGCCTGTTACATTGTGAAAGCAGTGAGCTTCCTATCATCTTCATGTAAGGGCATCTTATAAAAACCTGATGTCAGATCCATGAACAGAGTTTTCCCACCAAGTGCTGCTAGGAGGTCAGCTTGGCAATGCAGAGGAAGTGCATCTTTGCTGGTTCTTCTGCTCAGTCCAAGCAGATGCATATTCCCTAAAGGATTTTCTTATAATGACTTTTTGTTCCCTTTCCTTCAGAAACTTTCACAACTGCTGGCACTAACTGGTAGCCACCCTCCTGAATGGGAGTCTGAATGGACCAGCAAGATGGATTTGGTGAAAATGACCAAATGTCTTTATATTGTAAGATCAAATGAGCCAACTTTTGTTTGTATGGAATACTCATACAATTGGTTATATAGTGGGTGTCTTGTGTTTGCATACATGAAAGTTATTTCCATTGTGATTCTGCCAAAGCCTAGAGTCACGTTTTGCATTATGTGTGTCTCTCTTCAGGCACAGTTCATACTTTTTGCATAGTCAGCAATGTGGATCAGAGTTGGTGAATTACATGGACGTCTGCGTTACCAAGATATAACGGCAAAATGAAATGAAGCTTTATTTGGCAATTGTACAAGTACAAAAACACTGGAATGTATTTTATTACGTAATCCATCTAACTGTCCTTTTTAAAAGACTCACACAAGTACAGAGGCGAGAGTGAAGCTTGTGGTCTGAGTGCAGGGACATCTGTCCATCCAGTAGCCCTGAGGTATTTTATGGGGACAGTAACTAACAGACGTGAATGTCTCTGCTACACAGCCACAGCGCACATCAACGGCCACTTTCGGGTTTTCACAACTGGAGTACAGCTGAATGGAAGCAAGCAGGGGGCCCATTACACCACACGGCAGGACGA